ACAAAACGTTCCCTTATCTATTTTGTTGGGGGGGGGACTCTGCATTTCTTCATTAACCATCCTTTTTCCATCTTAGATGTTTTTGCAATGAATCTGTTCCTAGTCCAAATATGGATGATGTCATGGTCTTATTTTGGTTCATCTCTACAGTGAACCTGCCTATCAGTTCAGCGATTGTAGTCGGGATGAACATTGGAGATATCTTATTGATAAGAGGCCTCCGTGCATTCTCAACAAACCCTCGATAACAGATATTGTTTCACCTCCAGTTTGTGGAAATTACTTTGTGGAGGTGGGAGAAGAATGTGACTGTGGCCTTCCTGCAGTAAGTTTTTTTTGTTTTTATCAACAAGAGTAATTCAAAGAACTTTCTCAAAAATGGGAATCCTTGCAAAACCATCTGGTTTCTAAGTGTTTGAGCCATCCAAGGGATTGGTTTGTGAATGGCATAGGCTTGTGTCCTTTTTCTACATGCATGTATGAAGGGTTTCTTGGATTTGGTAAACCAGTTGTAGAGGAATGGAGAACTGGTACCTCACTATCATTTGGGTGATTAAAAAATGGGTGATTGACAATTCCCCAAAAATCCTTCTCTTCTGAAAAACCCTATTTTGTTGATATGGCCACATTATCTGTCCCACTATTTTCTTGAGCTGCTTCCTCCCAGAATTTGTGATCTTTAATCTATATAATGTTTTTTATAAGAACAGTAATTTAGTAAAGTGTTCTCTTTATATTTTAAAATATACATCTAATGGTCTGTGAGAGACCAAAGAAGGAAATGTCTACTCAATGATCATATAAAGAAGTAGATTAGCCTGCAGAAGCAATGGGGCATGGCAAATATCTCAAGAGGAACACCTCCCACCCATTCTCTTGGTCCGTAAAGACGAGGTGGTAGTAATATAGTTTCAGTATTAAAAGATTCTGCTAATGTAAGCTTACAATCAAGGTAGTGTTAATACTCATGGTTGGTGCTTCTTCTCTGGACTACCTCAAAGGCTGGCATGATGAGCAGAAAATCCTTCATGAATAAGAAAGGAATGTGGGTGTACATTGACTTCACAATTAGGTGAAGATATTTTTATTTGTTTTATTCTTTTCATACAGAAGATATCAGATAAATCTGTTTCATGTAGATATGCTATCCTCCATTTGAAATAACAGTTTGTGCATTTGCAAGCATGAACCCCATAAGAGGGAACACATTGCAGAAATGTCTTTTTCCTTGGCAGTTTCCCTCTTCAAAAATTGACCAATTAAAAAAGACCAGGCTGAAAAGCCTATGACATCATTTGATATGTTTTGGTTTTCAGAATTGTAAAAATCTGTGCTGCAATGCTACAACTTGCAAACTGAAACCTGGAACACAATGTGAAGATGGACTGTGTTGTGACGGATGCCAGGTAAGGCTTGTTTATTTTTAACACAGGAAAGATTTTACCCTGCTCCAAACTAGCCATATAGAAATGTAATATTTCTTGGCTGTTTACTATGATCAAAACGTTTTAACCCTATCCCTATCCTGTCTTCCATTTTATTTGACCCTTATGAACATATCCATCAGCAACACATTGTCTAGGTTTCAACATTTAATAATTTAATAATACATGTTAAATTCCTTTCTCTTTACCTCATTTTTCTAACCATTGATAAAAGGTATCCTATATTCTAAAGCAGGCATGTCAAACTGCCGGATGCGTCACACCAAAACCGCACCCACCCCATTGCTGTCAGTGGGGAAAAAGTCATGATACATCATGCGACGTCACATGATGTCGCGAGGTGACATGCCTGTTCTAAAGTATAATAAAGTATACTTAATTAACTCTTCCTCCATTGGTAAATCTTCATTTTTCCAATATTCAGCTAATACACTTCTCACTGCAGTTAATACATGTAAAATTAGATATATACACTCTTTCTCATAATTTCCTACAATTATGCCTAACAAAAATAATTCAGGCTTAAAATCTATGTTTTTTAGTCATTTTCTCTAACCATATGTGTATTCTTGATCAGAATCTTTGGGAAATGTCCATCAAAGATGGTAATAAGTGCCTGGTTTTTGTCTACATTTCCAACAGTTGCTAGATATGTTTTTAACCTCACCAGTGTTAAATGCCATCTGTAGAACATTTTGTATAGATTTTCTTTGTATGCCATCACTTTTGTTATTTTAGCATTTCTTTCCCAAAGGCTTTCTAGTTCTATGTTATGTCCAAAAATCTTTGCCCATGTTATCATTGTTTCTTTAACTTATTCCTCTTTAAACTTAACATATATTTATAAAGTTTCTTAATCAATTTTTCGTCTGATGTCAGTAGTATCTTGTCAAATTCTGTCTGTTCTTTATAAAATCCAGATATTTTCATATCTTTTTCATATCTCATTTGGATTTGCAGATATGGCCACCATGGTAGGTCAATACCCTGTTCTTCTAATTCTTGCCTGTGTTTTAATTTCCCTTCATTATTCAAAATGTCTTTATAAGTCACAATTTTCTTGTAGTTAGTTAAGATTGGGTGAACAAATGCTTCCATTGTTGAGAGCCATCCAGGTATTTTCATGTATATTTTCGCTTTTACTTTTTCCCATTCTAAAAAAAAGTGCATTTCTTATATAATGATATTGAAAGTATCTGTGTATTTTATTGTTCCCATACTATAGGAAGGCATGCCACTCAAGTTGTAAGTCATGTCCCTCTAGGTATAGCAGTCTTTTATCTCTAAACGTGATCCATTCTTTTAGCCATGTTAGCTTAATAGTATAAAGTCCAGTTCGGCAATCCAAATCCTCCATTTTCTTTTGTTTCTTGAAGCATTTTCAATCTAATTCTAGCTTTTTTTCCTTGCCAAATGAATTTCAGTATTAATTTATTTAGTTCATCAAAGAAGTTTTTTCCCAATCTTATAGGTATTGTTTGAAATAAAAAAAGTATTTTTGGTAGAATATTCATCTTCACTGTTGCTATTCTCCCCAGCATGGAAAGTTGTAAGTTTTTCCATTTTTCCAAGTCTAGTTTTATTTTAGTAATTTTCTTCTTTTATTGTTGCATATCTTGCTGTTAAATAAATCCCCTCTTTCGGCATGATAAAGCACGTATGTGAAAATAATATATTTGTTCTTTTGACTGAATTTGCATGGAAAACAGTTTAAATAAGGGTGGGCAATGTTTGAGATTGGTGCCCTAACTCAGCTTCCTAACTGTCTGGAAGGTTCTATGTGGTCCCTGGTAATACTGTGACATTTTCCTCTCTGAGCCTTTTAGAATGGAAATAGGTGCAGGAGACTTCTGGAAGTAAAGCTGCTTCCCCCCCCCTTTAAGTTCTCTACCTGCTCTCTAAAGCTCTAAATTCAGGTGTTCTGTGGAGCATTCTGGAGGTGTTGCAGGACCATGAAAAGAGAGGTGCAAGTTCCTCATTCCTTCTTTCTACGTGGGATCCCAGTGGACTCTGTAATGAACTTTTTTTGCAGAGTGACTCAAAACATTTTGTTATTTGCATATTTCCATCACAAGCCTAGTTTCACAGCAGGAGAAGGGAGCTACCAGTTTTTCAGCACGTGACAGAAAATTCTATGTATGCTTCTTTCCATGTAGAGAAATAAAAATATATCATGAGAAGTTCAGCAATTCACTTTTTGCTGCTTTTTCATGGCAGCCCAATTGATTTTCCCTCTGTGGTCAGCCAATAGGTTGAACTTGTCTTTCAGGAATTGAGCCTTTCATTGCATTCATTTCCCCACAGCAAATAAGACAGACTGGGACTTCTAGGCACCACACACAGTTGTAACAGGACAGGGATGCCTTGCTTGGTGATCCACAAGACAGATGAAGAGGAGGATTTGAAATGTGTTGCGAATCATGGTTTGACTTTTTGATCTCTGCTGCTGAAGAGTGATAGCTGGAGTATTTTTGATTCTCACCCACAGTTTAGGAGAGCAACAAAAGGAGTGAGTGTGACATTGCTGAAAGCTGCACTGGCCGATCTGCTGAGTGCCCCATGGATAGATTCCATAGGAATGGACAACCATGCCTAAACAATGAAGGTTACTGTTACAATGGGAAGTGCCCCATCATGGATCACCAATGTATTTCTCTCTATGGGTCAAGTAAGTCAACCTTAGGATTTCGGAATAGTGGTCTTATAAAAGATTAAGATAGTCATTGCCATTAATGAAAGATATTTTCTCCTTTGTATCCATAGTAAATCATCAGTACATTTCTGTTCTATAACAGAGTTGGAAGGAGCCTTGGAGGTCTTCTAGTCCAACTCCCTGCTCAAGCAGGAAGCCTTATACCATTTCCAATCTTTTCTTTAAAAAATCTCCAGTGTTGGAGCAACCACAACTTCTGAAGGTCTTTTCCAGATGGAATATTTTTTCAAGATGAAGTTCTTTCTTTGAAGGCTGTAGAACAGACCAGAAATCTGGAAAGACAGACTTTGGGGAAGGATGCTTTTTTTTATTATTGAAAATTTTTAAGATTTTACAATAGATCTTTTGGTTTAAAGTTCCAGTCATCCCTAGGGAACTTGGCCAAGGGTCAAAGATGATGGCAGTTGCAGACCAGAAATCTGGAAAGACAGACTTTGGGGAAGGATGCTTTTTTTTATTATTGAAAATTTTTAAGATTTTACAATAGCAAAAACAAAACAATTTTCCCCAACCATTTGGGCTTGCGTAAATTTAACGTTCCTCACCCAAATAGTTTCCCAGGTATCTAGTAAAACCGGTTCACCAAAGTTTTGTGCCCATTTAATCATACATTCTTTGACTAACTCTGCTTCTGAGTTCAATTCTACTAGGACCCCATAAATTGTGGGTTGTGGATACATTCCCAAATTGGACAAAATCTGAAACAATCCCAATAAGAGATAATGTAAATTGATTATGGGACTGTGTGCTAAGAATATTCAAACCCCAAGATTGAAACTTTCTTTGCATTTGGCATGATAATTGAAGAGACAGCTCTTGGGGTGTGTGATTCTTATCACTGATCACTCCTGACTTTCAGACTATTCACAAAATTTTCAGAATGATTTTATGTTGAAAAAGGAAATTGAAAATAAGTCTCCTTTTTCAGATAAAGTAGACAGTTTTCAGTAAAGAGGGAGATTTATCTTGGCCATAGATCAGTGGTGCAGTGAGGCTTTGCATATAGAAAGCCCAAACACAGGTTTCAGGTCACTAATTAAAAGAATTAACAGAATAACTGAGTTGGAGGAGTCTTGGAAGTCTTCTAGCCCAACCCCCTGCTCTAGCAGGAAACTGCATACCGTTTCCAATCTCTTATTTAAGAGATTGTAGCACCCACAACTTCTGAAGGCAATCCATTCCATTGATTAATTGTTCTAACACAAAATTTCTCCTGATTTCTAGGTTGGTTCACTCTTGATTCGCTTTTGTTCATTGGTCTTGTTCTCCTTTCAGGTGTTTGGAAAAGAGCTTGACCCCTCATCTTTGTGGCAGTCCCTCAAATATTGGAACACTGCTATCATATCACCTCTAGTCTTTCTTTTCATTAAATTAGACATATCCAATTTGTGCCATTGTTTTTCATAAGTTTTAGCCTCTGATCCTCTAATCATCTTTGCTGCTTTTCTCTGTGTTCTTTCTAGAATCTCAACAACTTTTTATATATAACGGCGAACAAAACTGGATGCAATATTCCAAGTGTGATCTTACCAAAGCATTATAAAGTGGTACTAACATGTCACATAATCTTGATTTTATCTCTCTGTTAATATAGACTAGGACTGTGTTGGATTTTTGACCATTGTGGCACACTGATGGTACATATTTAAGTAGTTGTCCACTAGAACTCCAAGATCCCTCTTATAGTTATAGTACTGAGCCAGATATCACCTATTCTGTACCTGTGGTTTCTTTTTTCTTGCCTAAACATAGAACTTTTTTTTTACTTTTTTCACCATTGAATTAATTTTGTTAGATAGGATCGAGTGTTGAAGTCTCTCGAGATCCTCCTGGATCTTTAGCCTCTCTTCTGGAGGGATGGCTATTCCCGCCAGTTTGGTGTTGTCTTTCAATCCTATATAGAAAATGTTGCTGGACTAAGGACTCTACTATCTGCATTTACAATACACTCTGTGAATAATTAGGGAGGAGCTGTCTTCACCCTCTTTCTCTCATATATAATATCGGGGCTGAATTGCCTCTTATTCATCTGGACTGCATCCCCTCCCACCCAGGCATCCCCCTCCTCACTGTGTTCCAGCACACGAATGCATCTACAATAGTGTTGAACTTGGAAAATGGAGAATGAGGACACAGAGGAATGAAGCTGCACTCAAATTTCCCTCCAGCCATTGATTTACTGCAGGGTCTTCTGCAACTTGCATAAAGTGGCTTCAGCTTTTTTGTCCATAAAATGAAATAAGCAAGTTTAGTGTAGTACTGTGTCAGATAGAGAATGATTCAGTCATAATGAGGATTAGATAAATAATGGATTACAAAATAATAGATTACAAAATAAGCAAACATTAACTAGCAAATAATAAGTAACTGATCTTTCCTCTGAGATCTCTTAAGCCATTCTTTATCCTATTGGCATGATACACACTCAGGTATTTGTCTTGGTTCCTCACTCCTTCTTGCAGGAGCAACTGTGGCTCCAGATTCATGTTTTGATCGTAACCTGCAAGGCCAAGGTAATTTCTACTGCAGAAGGGAAAAGGGTAAAATCTTTCCATGTGCACCACGGTAAGCAATCTAAATTATTTCCTGCTATGCTGATGATATAAAATAAGGATAATATAAGAAGTATTTTCATGTCCACATTTGTTGGAACTTGATTCTATCACCTGGTTAAAACAACAGAAATGTGAGTCAATTTCTGAATGGCTAATTTCCCTTTGTTTTCCATCTTGGGTTACAAGGTGGAACACAAGCTGAGTGTAAAAAGAATGCCATGAGGATAGAAGTGCCTTTTAAAAGATTGTGTCAGAAAGGAGAGATACTCCTTGACTTACAACTATTCATTTAATGACTTCAAAGAAGTGACACACAACTAGTCCTTGCACTTATAACGGTTGCAACATGTGAGTCATGTGAGCAAAATTTGGGTGCTTGGTGACCAACATTTATTTATGAGGGCTGAAGTGTCCCAAGGTCACATGATCACCATTTCCGATCTTCCCAGCCAGATTCTAATAAATCAAAGTCAATGGGGGAGGTCAGATTTGCTTAACAACCAAGTGATTCATTTAACAATTGTAGTGATTCACTTAACAACCATGGCAAGCCCATAAAATTTGGTGCAGCGCACAGCCTTGTTTAGAAATAGAAATTCTTCACCAATTTGTGGTCATAAGTCAAGGACTATGCTACAATCAGCCTTTCTCTTTGGGAGGACATTACCCACCTTATTTACCCTGCATATTACTGAATAAACCCTGGTTGGCTAAGTTTATGAATTGCATTTAGTCATAAATCATGATTTAGAAACCACACTTGCTAAATTTGCACCACATCTTAAACCCAAACTAAACAATAGCGCACATTTTCTTTTAGTAATGTGTGTAAATCCAAACTCTACCTTTAGCTCTTACACAAACACACAGATCCCTGTGCCATTGTTTCCCATTAAAACAAGGGAAGTTCAATCTTTATTTCTCTCTACTCTCATATTTTTTATTAAATTGAAATGGAATAATAGCCATTTTTCAGGGCAATTTCCCTCTCCAGTGTTTAGTGCAGTTGCCCCAATCTTTAGATTTCAACTCCCATCATCCCCTGACATCCAATGATCAGAGATTATGAGAATTTTAAACCAGAGATCTGGAAAGACCAAGCCTCTTAAAATCTACTTTAGGAGTTTTCCTGGTGGATAACAGATGCATTCCTTGCTCTTAAGATAAGAATCCTGACTCATCCATCTTCACCCTCAAAAACAGGGAAATCACAGCGAGCCAGTTGGAGATACAGGAATTGTGTTCTCTGTTTCGCTCCAAACCTTGAAACACCTTATGAGATTTTTCAGTTATGTGTTGGGGGCAACGAGTTCCTGCTGAGATTGAGCAAAGGTCTGGTTCTCCATCTCTAATTAAACACACACACACCACACACATAAAGGTTAACCAAGATCAAGGTTGTTGGCAGAGTCACTCATGCCTTGCTCCCAGTTGGATTACTGCATAGCAATAACCCTTGAAGAGCGTTTGGAAGCTACAACTGGTACAGAAGGCAATGACACTGAGAGTTTGGGAGTGGCATATGTGATTCCATTGTTACACAAGCTGCACAGGTAGCCAGTGTGCTTCTGGAAAATTCAGGGAGTTGATCATGACCTTTGAAGCCCTTTATGCCATGGGTCCAGGATATCAGTGGAACTGCCTTACCTTGTTAGGACTAATCTGCCCCAGTGCTTCCGTAGAAAGGGCCTGCTTCGGATTCTGCCAACCAAACAGTTTTGGCTGGTGTGGTGCAGGAGAAAAGCATTTTCTGCTGTGCCCCCCCCCCTTGGCAATATTTTGTTATCAGAGGTGAGGTCTGCCCCCAGAATTCTGGTCTCCCAGAACAGCCTATAAGCTGGGCTCTATCTGGGTCCCCAGCATGGGTCTCCTAAGTTGGGGAGGGCTGACTGGGTAGAGAAGGGCTTCTGACCTCCAGACTGCCCTTCATCTTGATTTTTAATTTTTAACTTTTATTCTAATTATTTTTAGCAATTTCTAACTTTTCATTGTATTGTAAGTCACCCAGGACATGGGGGCATGGGAAACAAACAAACAAAATGCTTGCAAATAAAGAACCGGCCTCTCATTACTCCATTCTTGTTAATTAGTATGAATTCACTGTTTCCTTTTCAGGGATAAAAAGTGTGGCAGGTTATTCTGCGTACTGGATCGAATTGGATATAAAAGTTCATGCCAAAGTAGAGCTATACCAAATGACCTAGATTTTGGAATGGTTACTGTTAGAACAAAATGTGGAGATGGAAAGGTTAGTAAAAGTTTACCGCTAATGTATGTGCTCTAAAGTCTGATTCCACAAGGTGAAAATTTTCCACTAAAAATTTCACAATAGATCTTGCTGAAAGCTGGTTTAGATTTTTCCACACTACCGTGAATCTGCATAGAAGAAAAGCCTTCTTTTGGTTGTTGTTATTTTGTTTTCCTTCAAAGAACAACCCCAACAAATGAGGTGGATGTCCAGGGCTGTTTCTTTCTTGCAAGAACAAAACGCCTGGCCTTCTCAGAGCCTTGTGCTTCTCTCTTGCAGCATCTTCTGGACAGACTGTCAAGAGACAGTCCTTTCTCTGAACTTGTAGGCATCTCCATAGAGAAGATGGAAGAGAGAAATAGAAAATCAGGGCAGAGCTGGTTGTGACCTAAAGGTTACCAGTTCAATGAATCTATTTAGAAGTGCTGAAGCAATCCCAAAGTTTATCTTAAAGGATCAGGAATCACTTCCCCTTGATTTTTATAACCTGAAAGAAGTTTGGGTTAGTTCTAAGGAATGACAGAGTTTACTTGTGTAGAAAAGTGCTGTATTACTCCACTGATAATCTCTTGCTTTGACTTTCAGGTCTGCAACAGCAACAGGCAGTGTGTTGATGTGAATACAGTCTACTAATCAGCCCGTGCTTCTCACAGGTTTAATTTTGGAGATCCTTCTTCCAGAAGGTTTTACCTCCAAGACCCATCTGCCTGCAACCTACTAGTAAATCACTCTTAGTTTCCAGACGCTATCCAAAGTCTGCAATATTTCTTCTCCATATTTAATCTGATTATCTTTTGCTGTAATCAAACCTTTTTCCCACCACAAAGCTCCATGGGCATGTACAACACCAAGGGCTTATTTGCTGTCAAGAAAAAAAAATGGCCATTTTACCGTTTGCCAATTGCAGAGCACATTTAAACGCAACAAGTTCTGCCTTTTGAGCTGATGTATTCGAAGTCAATGCTTCCTCTCCCACAATTTCACGCTGGCTTTCCAAGATATAACTGCTTCCATTAATAAACTAACTATTCTCATTCTGCATTTTGTAAAAGCTCATTTTTCAAATCTGGTTTGCTGGAGTAAACCTCATCAAGAACTTGCATGCAATCATGCAGAAACCATCAAGTGAATTATCTACTGGCATTAAAGAAGTTGGATTTAGCTTATTCACAATCACCTGTCTCATTCTGAGACATTCTATCTCAGAAAGAGCCCTAAAGAAAAATCATCCACATATTGCAACATAGTCCCAAGTGTTTTCAAAAGGCAGGTGCACTTTCTTGGTTTTTCCTTGAAAATGTTTCTTCAGTTCTTCAAGTCCAGTTGCTTTTTGAAAAGTATCTTTGGGAAACCATGACCTGGATGATTGAGAATCTCCATAGATACTGCAATACAGTGCTATGTGTTCCTGAATGGTGTGTGTGTGTGTGTGTCTATCTGAGTAGGTCAGAGACAAGAGCTTCACCAAAAATGGTTGGGTTATTTTCAAATCCTTGGGGTAATATAGTCCACTATAACTGAGTTCCCTGTACATGTTCATTGTCAGACCACTGAAAAGCAAACACCTCTGGCTAGTTCATTGAAGGTGAAGAGAGAAGAAGGCATCCTTTAAGTCCCATACAGTTAAATCATGTGACACCAAGGTGAAATCAAAGAAATCAAAGTATAAGAATTTAGCACTGTAGGGTGAATTGTCACTGTGAGTCAACTGATAATTCTCAAATCCAGAACCAGGTGAAAAGACCCATCAGGTTTCTTAACTATTTAATTATTTAGCATATCATATTTCAGTAAAACAGAACACAGGTAAAATACAAAACATAATTTCTTAACTGGGAGAACTGGACAATGGAAGGAAGTTTTCCCTTTCTCCAGAAGATCATACTGTAGGAAATGATTCATGATTGACCTCAGTCCTACTCTAGCTTTCTCAGGAAGAGCATACTGTTTAATTTGCACAGGTTCATCTCCTGGTTTCAGGACAGTTTCCACAGGAGAAATACACTTAGTTCATCCTGGATTGCCTGAAGCCCAGACCCATAACATAACTGTATTTAAGATAGACTGCCTTGGATGGAGGAACTCTTTCCTGAGTGGGGATTTCAAGACAGGCAAAAACAAGTCTCCAGAATTCATGTTTTGGCAAAAACATTGTGATTTTTCCTTGATCAAAAGACAGAGTGGCTTGTCATTTAGAAAGTAGGTCCCATCCCAAAAGTCATGCACATTCAAAAGGCCATGTGTCAACTTTTCCCCCCAACATCCATTTCCAAATGTTGTAAAAGGTTATCCTGAGGCTCCAACAACAGGCATAACTTGATTAGACTTAAGAGCCCAGTGATTTAGTGACTACAGAATGCATAGCGCCCATATCCACAAGGAAATAAATCTTTTCACCTCCCACCATAGCAGATAACAAGGGCTCCGGAGACAGTAGCGTTGTTTGACGACTCCACACCCCTGTCTGCTTCATTCTTTGTCTTCTGGCATAAGAAAATATGGGCTGGTAGACATGGGCTGATTGTCTGGAGTCTGAGCAAGTCCCCATTCTGAATTCAATGGGCCTGCACCTTGCCAATGTCCTTTTTTTCCTTACAAAGAGCACATTGATGCTTCTTAAGCATTTCCAGCAAGTGCAGAGTGGTTTAATAAGGCAAATGGTGCTATTCCTGTATCCCAGTGAGACAAATTGCTCCTCCTCTGTATTACTTACCTGTTTTATTAAGACAAAATATGGTTGCCTTGAATATCTTGTTCTCTGCTTCTCTTTTGGGGGGGTACCATCAAGGTATGGCCAGAAGGGGGAGCAAGAGGACAACCAGAATTTAGCCCACAAGGAAGAAAAAAGAAACATTACTAAGAACCTTACACTACTACTGTATAATAGATTGCCTCCTTCATGTCAAACTTCACTTACCCTTACTAATTATGAATCTCTGTCCATGTCTCCTTGCAGACATATACATTAATTCTGACAGCTTTAACCTAGCAGTACAAAAGCCTCAGACAGTCTGGCACCAAAGCCAATCAATAAGTAAAGTTCGTTTTTTCTAATAATTCATTGCCTATGGGAATCTTATTTCCAGGAAAGCCAGGTGTTGGGGGTGGGGGGAAATAATGTAATCTCACTTTATTCATAGGCTTAAACTGGGTCCAGACTAGCTTCTGACTGCAAAGTTTGCAGGAGGAAGCCCCAGAATTAAGAAAAATGGGTGAACGACCTACAGAAGAAAAATCTAAATGAAAGTTCTCTAGATTGGATGAGAAAGTTAACTAAATATATATAATTTCAAACTGCATTGAAAACCTGCCATCAGAACTAGCTACCTCATCTCTAGCAGCAAATCTTCCTGGATTTTCAGTGGTTCTATCAGAGCATGAATTCCTGTAAATGAATAACAAGCTTCCACCAAAACTACAGATTTTATTCATTATATAATAATAATAATAGTAGTAAAGTTGGAAGGGACCTTGGAGGTCATTTAGTCCAACTCCCTGCTCAGGCAGGAAACCCTACACCATTTCGGACAAATGGCTGTCCATCTCTTCTTAAAAACTTCCAGTGTTGGAGCATTTACTGCTTCTGGAGTATGTTGAATCATTTGATGTTGAATCAAATATAGATTGAATAGTGACAGTTGCAAACTAGCATACATCTAGAGGGAAAACTCAGTTGACAGAACTACATTTTAGCCCTTGGGCTATAAAATCCCCTTGCGAAAGAAATGAAAATAGTGTTTTATTCCTATTCCATACCGTCTGAAATGGTTCCCATCATCTCTTCTTAGAGATGTGAGAATCTCTTCCCTATTCTCATTGTTGCAGTGAGACAATTTGAATGAATGTGCATGGGAAAGAAAGATGCCTATTTTAAAAGCCCAATTTGCAAACTGCAATTTTTTTATGAATGGAGTTGTTCACCAGGAATTAAGGAAGCTCTATACACATATGTGTGTAACACAGCAAATTTAAAAACAAAACATCCAAAAGTTTCTGTTTATATTGCACTGGTGATAGATTTTGAAAAGCTTTCTCTCTTCATTCAGAGAGCAAACACCAGTGCAGAGCTTAATCACATCTGAAAAGGTAAGCTGTGCAGCCTACACTGGGCATGCTTTGAGCACAATGAAACCATCTGTCTTGGATTGATGAAGCTAATTGTCTGAAAAATGAATTTTCTATGCTTGTTCAAACCAGCTACTGCAACAGAGGACATAGATGCACTTCTTGTGTTAAAGAAGAATCAAGAACAAGTCCTGTTTGCATTTTATGAAACAATGTCATTTTGTCCCTTCTCTCTAGCAGTGATAAGCCACCCTAGGTAAAATTCAGAACAAATGAGGCAAGTCAATGGGATTGATACAACTCATCTTCTCTGAGTTATACTCAGCCTTAATTTGACTAATTCATGGATGCTATTTTGGGGGGAAGCTTGCTTTTAAATTAAACATTTAATGTATCTGATTGTTGGAATTTAATTATCCTTCCCAGCTACTCTCAAACCTACTTGCATTCTGTGTCAGCCTTCGGACCGAATATTAACTAATATGATTCTACTTTGTTTGCAGTTTCCTTTCGTGCTGAGCAAACTTAAAAGAAGGCATCTCGAATGCCATTCAATCCTCTGGATAAAGTCTTAAGATGGGGAAAAAACAATATGAATAGATTTTTCTTATGGAAATTAATAAATGTTTTTTGAAAAGGAAAAAACAGCAGAAATTTAACATTTTATTGCCAAGTAACAACCTCTTTAAAGCTTGCTCGTGCAAAATCCTGTTTGTGCTTATGGACAATCCAAATGCTGTTGCCAGAATCAATGCTGCAGAGAGAATCCCAAATGTATCTTGTTGAAAAAAAAGGAGAATGTTAGGTATCCAAACTAATACTATGCAAAAACCAAGGAGAACTTTCTGAAAGTAGGCTGCTAGTTTCCAGAAAAGCTAGAAATGAACATCTAAGACACGCCAGGGCTTTTTAACAGTATAGATTTTTTTCATACGTTTGCATGCAAAAAGTACCCTGAAACACAAAAATCATGTTTATTGGGGGAAACAATGACTCAACCTTGCATATATCCATGGGTACAAATCCACAAATATATTAACTAAGGGACATAAAGTATCTAAAACTAACCAGTGAAAATATTGGGGAATATAATAAAAAAAAGTTAATGACCTTGTAATCCCTTGGGTCGAGATGGAGTCTGGGCAACAGAATGGAGCTGAGCATTTCCTGGCTAGATGCTCTTCCTGATGCCTATGTGGAGTTTGCAGCAAATAGTTTCTCTTAGACCAGTGGTTCTCAATCTTTTTAATGCCGCGACCCCCAACCGGTTGTAAGTCTAGGACTACTCAACTGGTTGTAAGTCGAGGACTACTCAGCTGATGCAGCACCGTTTGCAGAATGGGACTTTTGGCGGGCTCAGCAGGGCAGAGACAGCCTGGACAATTCCTATTGGCTTTTGAAAGCCAATAGAATTAGACTCTATTCAAGAGAGTCTATTCTATTGGCTTTCAAAAGCCAATAGAATAAAAGGGAGTAGCACAGCTAAGGAAAAGGGGGAAAAAATGGCGGACTGCGTTGTTTGGCGACCCCAGTGAAATGGTTGTTTGACCCCAAATGGGGTCCCGACCCACAGGTTGAGAACCACTGTCTTAGATGGAGAAACATCTGTCACTGCCCAGGATTGAATTCTCAACCTCCTGAGTGTGACATGAGAGTCTGTACCTCTGGGCCACTCATCTGGAAATATAGTAAATAATTCACTGAAAATATCATTTATCTAGCCACTGTGCCTTCAGTGGGATTTCTGCAAAGAGTTATTTAAATATATCAGGATAGATACTGTTTGTAAAACCAGAGCTTCTATAGGCGCACAAACATTCACAAACACACACTCGATGCTGCCACAGAGGTCTCTAGAAGTCATCAAATTGCTATATTTAATGTGACAAAAGGGTGGATATTGGACAGAAATCGCAATAATTATATTTAATTTTAGATAAATGTACGTTTATGCAACACAGAATCCAATTTTTT